CTCGTTCCACGGCCTCTTCTGAATCCAGCTTGAACCTCTGGAAGTTCTCTGTCAATGTATGATTCCAGCCGTTTCTGTACTACCTTTAGCAAAACTTTGCTCGCTTGAGATATCAAAGAGATTGTCCGCAAATCCATAGAGAAAAAAAGTACAAAAGTGATTGCCAGGGAAATGCCTACTAATGAGGTTTCTTTTGGGGGTCATAAAATTTTTTCTGGTATTAGTACACCTTGTGAATATTCTAAAAACAACTGAATTATACCCTTTAAAATGGTAAAAATTAGGATATGTGAATTATATCTCAATTTTTAAAAAGAACATTTAACTGCATAAAAACAAAAATAAAGCACATCAGAATTTGTAGCACTAAATGTAGCACAGAAAATTTATAGCACTAAATGCTTGCATTAGAAAAAAAAATCTCAAGTCAATAACATAAACTTCTACCTCTAGAAACTAGAAAAAGGAGAGCAGAAGCAAGCACAAGGAAGGAAAAATAAAGACAAAAGCAAAAATTTTAAAAATTGAAAACAAAAAGACAATAGAGAAAATCAGTGTAACAAAAAGTGGTTCTTTATAAAATAAAGATTAATAAAATTAACAAACTATTAGCAAGACTGACACAGAATAAAAGAGGAAGTACAAATTATTAATATAAAAATTATCACTGGAGACCTAGAAGACATCAAAAAGATTTTAATAAGATAATTTATACATGTGAATCTAACAACTTAGATAAAATGAGCCAATTCCCAACTCGGACATTGGTTACCCAAAATGGGAAGGGGGGTGGCCTACAAAGGCAAGAAGTGACTGACTAACAAGCTTTCAAGAGGGTGCAGAGGACGGTAGAATCTCTACTGAGTAGTATCCAATCTGTCTGGGCAGGACTGATGAAAGGAGATGTGGACTGCACTCATGTGGTACAATCGTGAATAATTACTATCAGCACTGACTGTGAGGGTTGGAAATGTAAAGGTAGACATTTTGTAAAAAAAAAAAGGAGGGGAGTGGTTGACTTTGTAATCTAGGTAGAGGACCCTGGGACCATCAAGGGAAAAGATCAGAGTGTGGGACCAGAGAAAGTGACTCCAGAGATGGAGGCAGAGACATGGCGAGATGGAGCAGATGGGAACTCTAGACCCAGAGAGGGAGACCAGGGGTGTACCATTTGGTTGGTTGATGATGCATGGAGGGGGTTATAACCTTGGCAATGAAACAATATACGATAGGATGAATGTAAAGCTAATGTTCTCCCATGTAAACTATCACATAATTCACAATAAAACAATTTTTTTCAAATGAGCCAATTCCTTGTAAAGCACAACTCACTCAATATGAAAAAGACAATTTGAATTGGAATTCTCAAATATAGTAAAGATATCAATTCTCCCCAAACTAAGAGGACTTTTCCAAAATATACATATTCTGACTAAACCCTAAATATAATAAGAATTTCTAGGGGTGAAGTCCAGGAGTCCTGGTGTGGCACTGTGGGATAAGCACTGGACTGCTAACTGCCAAGGTAAGCAGTTCAAACTCATCAGCCACTCCTTGGAAACCCTATATATGGTTGTATGAGTCAGAACCAACTTGACAGCACTTAACAACAAAAATAGTGGTGAAGCCCAGACTTGTAGTGTTTAGGGGAAAAAACCTCAAGCCCACTCCAGATCATTCTAGTTTGTAGTCAGCCTCCCAGTCACTATCCCTAGAAACACGGGGCTGAAAGTCCTGCAGTCTTATCTGTCCACCAACTTAACATCAGTCCAGTGCAAAGGAAGAGTTAATCGATCTCCTCCTAGACTTTCCCACCTGCAGCCTCCTTAAGTGACCATGCTGACTACTGGCTACCATATGAATTTTTTTGAAGTCTAGTTCTGAGCCAGCTGGTAAGACAAATCTAGATACATAATCAAATTATAAATCAATGCATTATGGAGAGGGGTTGGCTCTAGTACCAAAAACTCTCTTCCTCTTCCCACCCTCCAGAAACCCTCCCAGTAAAACAGAGTGAAGACCTGTAGGAATGAAAAGTGTCTGTCCTTGCTTCACGGAACACTTGTAGCATTTATCCACCTGGTCCCCAAAGAACATTTCATTCTGATTAGAGGAACTGCTCCAGCACTCAAAGAGAGTCAGGTTTGCATTGGTTGGGCGGATTAGGTAAAAGATCTTCTCACCCTGAAAAAAAAGAAAAGGTTTAACTGCCAAAATTACCAGAAAAATCCTCCAGGGAAGTGGGTGGATGGGTAGGGACTCTCACACTCCAAGACCATGGTTGTTGTTATTGTTTATTGCGGTCAAGTTGGTTCTGACTCATAGTGACCCTGTATAGGGTTTCCAAGGAGTGGCTGGTGGGTTTGAACCACTGACCTTGCAGTTAGCAGTACAGTGCTTATCCTACAGCACCACACTAGGATTCTAAGATCATGAAAGTATGGAAGTGTGCCAAAATTAATTCCAAACCCATATAAATTATATGGATTTGGAAATTCTCAAATGGTCCTTTTGTACTTTGCACTATAAGTCAGCTCATAAGATTGGCAAAAACAATTTAGAAAGGGCATTTCAAACAAAATTGTTTAAATTAGGACAAATGTACACTAGTGGCTTCTATTTCAGAAGCCATGCAAAATGCAAAATGGTCTCTATAGATGAGTAGATCAATACTACTAGCTTGAAGAAAATTTAAGTCCACATTACTGATGAGGAGAAAATTGAATTTGCCTTTAAATGCCATTTACAGAGTGTTCCCTCTCACGCCTACAAAAAAAGCTAGTAAAAGTTAAAAACTTCAGTAATTTCCAGAGGACTTCTGAAAGATTATGACTGGTGATTATCTGTTGGAAAAACATTTCATTTCCTAATTATGTTTTGTCTGGATAATCACCAGTGATAATTCAGCAAAAAAAAACAAAAAACAACCTCTTAGTATAAACATATCCTTAATCCACAGCTTGATTTGTTTAACCAATATCTCACAGTAAGAATTTTCAATGTAGAAAATTAACAAGATTAGAAATATCTGATATACAACTGGAGAAATTTGCATCAGGTCTACAGATTAAATAATCAATTAAATAAATCAAGATTAATTTTTTGACTTTGATAACCACACTGTGATTATAGCAGAGAATGCCCTTGTTTTTATTACTACCACTGAATTATTAAGCGATAACGACCCATCATGTCTGCAGCAACTTTCAAATGTTTCAGAAAAAATATATACATATGGTGGCTGTGTGCTGTGGAGTCACTTCCAACTCACAGCTACCCTGTACAGGGTTTTCAAGGCTGTAAATCTTTATGGGAGCAGAAAGCCTCCTCTTCTCCAGCAGAACAGCTGGTAGTTTCGAACTGCTGACCCTGAGGTTAGCAGCCCGATTCGTAACCACTACGCTATACATGGTGGTGGTTGTTAAATGTCATTGACTTGGTTCCGACTCAGAGAGACCCTGTATAAAGTTTCCAAGTAACGGTTGGTGGGTTTGAACTGATGACCTTATGGTGACCTACAGCACCATACCAGGACTCCAGATAGTCTCTTCTGTCTTCTATCCTGCCTCTCTGCTCCTTCAGACACTGTGTTTAAAAGCGATGCTGAGTTAACTGGTAAAAAAGAAAACAAATGCTTTCCCGAATCATTATGAAAGAATACTAAATTCCTTCATCCTGTCAGAGTTAATATTATGTATGAGCACATAACATGTATGTTTGACATATTGTAGCTACAACATAGTAGGAGTATAAATTTATCCATTGAAGAAGATAATAGTTGGGAGAAAACCTTAGGTACCAGTTGGTGTTCAAAAATTATTTTGACTAAAAATCAAAACTGTAGAGTAGAAACAGGCCATCTTTGTCATCTAGGAAGTGATTAGGGCTCAGCAGCCTCTTTTGTGCTACTAGCTGATAAAAATAGGAAGGCCTTCTCCTCCTGTAAAGATTTATAGCCACGGAATCCCTGTTAAGGGTCGCTATGGGTCGGAACTGACTCGACAGCACTTAACAACAACAACAAGGTGTGCCTGCCACCAAAACTATATCCATTCCTACCTTGAGCACATGGTACCAGACTGAGGTGCCACCAAAGTCAATGTGAAAGTCTGTATAGCTATCCCGCACACTCATGAGGCAGTACTTCTGGACACTAGGTCTTTCAAATACACACTCCTCCGGCCACAAGTTCTCCACCCATGACAGCTTCCGAACAATCTTGGGTGTCTCCACAAGGTTAGAAAGCCTAGCAAGGAAGGGGTAGAGAGCAGATGTCAGTATGCTGAGGTAGACTGACAAAAGTCCATTGACTTCCAATCTTTTTGAATATTGGGAATTTCTCCATTTGAGGATTAAAGCTGGAATGAAATGTCCATAGGTCAGATAAGACAGAGAACCCAGAATTCCTAAGGGCACACAGGTCACATTTCCCGTAAGTCTGGTCAGCATATTCAGTTCACTCAGATCCAGAAATCCCAAGTCCCAGCTCCACAGCCTTCCCCAGTTGAAGGTGATCATTTATGAAATGCTCATACTTCACTGAAGTCCATTCACGTGGCATCAGGTTTATAATAGATTTCTTACTGCCCACATCTCAGTCTTTTTTTGAGGAACGATTAGAGAAACCTCTCAGGTAAAAAAACATTTTCTCCAAGCATTTTGTTGTTTTTGTCATAGATAAAACCACATACCTTATAATAGACATGTTTTCTCTTCTGACTATAGGGAAACTTCATGAAACTGCTAAGCCTATCTCCACCAACTATCCATCCATACTATTCATTTTGTCTATAGACATCCTACCAGATGCATCCTATTTCCCATCTTTAACCTCCTTTTGTGAGGACTGTATTGTAAGCACTGGACTGCTAACTACAAGGTCAGCAGTTCAAACCCACCAGCTGCTATCGGTGGGTGTGTAGGAACCAATTCAATGGCCCTTACCATCAACCCCCCCTTTCATTGAAAATTTTCCTGTATTTCCCCCTCTATTCTGTATAGTATTCATCTCTGTAAGCTACTTCAATCAGTAATTCAGGATGAAGTAAAGTATACATAAATGAATGTAATTTGTTAATGAAATCAGTTAACTTATTTGAACTTTTGCATGTTTAAACCAACAGTATGTTGTTGCTCTGGATCGTTGAGTCGGATCTGACTAATAGTGACCCTGTACTGTAAAGTTTCCAAGGAGGGGCTGGTAGGTTTAAACCACTGACCTTGTGGTTAGCAGTCCAGTGCTTACCCTACAGAGCCACACTGTTATTTCACTACAGTTAGTTAAGATGCTACCATTGGGGAAAACTGCCTGAAGAGTACACAGAACCTCCTTGTACTACTTTTTCCAATTTCCCTTAAAGCTACAATTATTTTCAAAATAAGTTTTAAAAACCCAGTAAATAATCATACAATAAATTTCCTAAGGGCAAGAAGGTATGTTCTAATTTCTCGGTATTTTCTATAGTCCTGAGCACAAAGTAGCTAACACAGCTATTGAGTCCAGGTAAAATAATTTAAGTCACTCATAACAGATTATAAACACTTCTTTTTCTTTCTTTTTTAACATAAGAAACCTTATTCTTAGAAAAATATTTGGGGTCAATTTTAGTAAATTCATATCCAGAGTACAAATGTAGTTAAACTGTGATAGTTAAACTGTGACTCTAAGAACCAGAAAAAAAAAAAAAAAAAAGTGTAAGAAAGTTGTGCTAGGACTTGAAGGAGATAAAAAGAAAAAAAAAAAAAAAAAAGAAAGAAATTACTATAGCTACTGTATAATCTATTCAATGCTAGAAACTGTGTTGGAGAAATGATTGGGTTTTTATAATGTGAGCAGATATCCTAAAAAGTATAACCAATTCACCATCTCAAAGAAAGAAATCACCAGGAGGAAAGGGAAGGAACACTAATATATACTCAGTTCAAGTTAAAGGAATCCTTGAGTGGCATAAATGGTTAAGTATTTGACTACGAGCCCAAAGATTGGCAGTTCAAACCCACCCAAAGGCAACTCAGAAGGCAGACCTGACAATCTGCCTCAAAAAGAGCACACTCTTAAAGAACCCTATGGCGCAGTTCTACTCTGCGCACATAGGGTCACCATGAATTGGAAATGAATAGATGGCAACTAACACCACCACCATAAGTTTCAGGCACTTTGTTCGACTTTTTAGTTACCCCTGTCCCTCCTACCTGGTATCAGAGAATTCCAAACTAATGACATTGAGGACTTTCTCCCTCTTCCCGCTGTAATAATATTTCACAAAATCGCCGAGCTTCATCTTGCAGTCAGCCTGGCGGATCACATCAATCACATCAATCTCTTTGTCAGAACCTGGGGTAAAAAGATGGGTTCTGCACCAAATGGTTTCAGGGACTGGGAAGACTGTATCATCCTCTCACCAGTCCCTAGAATGTCCTTTGAACTCCTCTCCTCAGATATTATATGTGTATGTGTGCATGTTTGGGGTGCAGGGACAGGGATAAAAATCCATCCAAGTGTTCCTTAGGTTCAGGCCTGCCAGGGTTATGGAACTGGCTGACCCATAGCATGACTCATAGTATAATCTACCTGTTTGGGACCTGTTTCCAAACTTCTCTTCCTCTCCTCAATATAACCATGCACAGAAGACAAGTGATTCAAAGATTCTACAATCTCCACAGAGGACAGAGAGACCATAATCCCTAGTACTCCCCAGGCAAATAATGGGGTTCAATCTGTGATTTGGGGGCATATTAGGTGGAAGAGGAAAAGAAGACCAGGATTTTGGTTCTAGCTTTGCAAAAAAAAAAAAAACAAAAAACTAGACAAGGCATTTCATCTTAGATTCCTAACATGACTAGAAAGGAAATGCAACAGGTAGATTGGAGAGGAAGACATATGGGTCTTAATGGGAATGAATAATGTTATATAATGTTTTCAAACCACAGGACTTGTGGTTTAAAAACATTATGTTGAGTGAAATAAGCCAGTCATAAAAGGAAAAATAATTTATAATCTCACTCACTTAAATGAACATAGGCAAATATATAAAACCCAAAAAGTATTAGTTTACTACGCCTGGTAAAGTGGCGGGTTGGGGAAAAAGAACAAGACCTGCAAGGAGATGGACTGGCACAGTAGCAGCATAAATGGGTTCAAGGGTAGCAACGGTTCTGAGGTTGGCACAGGACCAGGTAGTGTTTCATTCTGTTGTGCATAGGGTCACTATGAGTCAGTACCAACTCAATGGCACCTAACAACAACAAACCACACATGGGAAGGAGAGGGACAAGAGGGGAGTTTTTGCATATGGGTTAGTGAATATATGTTAATGGTAGTGGAATAATTTGGAAAAAAATAGTGAGACTGATTGTACAAGTTGAAGAATGTAGTCAATGTCACTGGATTATACATGTAGAGACAGTCAAATTAGTGTATCTTTTGTCATATATATTTTTACCACAATAATAATAATAATAGTAAAAGTATATTAAAAAGGGGTCTGTGTTGTCTTACCAACATAGTGTTCCACATCTCTCACAGTGAACGACGGTGAGGGCAGAGTCATTCCCAAACCATCCTTCTTCAAGACCATGATAGGTACACTGAAGCTATTCTCTTCCAGGTATTCCACAGTAAGCTGACTTCCAGTGGGCTTCAGAATCACTTCATCTGAGCTGTGGGCCACACAAGAGAAACCCTGAGCCCCAGAGGACCTGGCCATTGAAAGTCTCACTGGATGCTACCATTCACCCAGAGGTGGGAGGGGAGAAGTAGAGGAGACCTTCCAGAGGGGTCACAGCATAGGATGGCAGCTAACAGCATAAACTTTATGTGCATAAAAAAACTAAACTCAGGATATCAATAGGGTGCTCTTCTCTAGATGACTAGGGTAGATATCAGTCAACAGGTTACCCAAAAGGAAAAGATACATCTGACGAAGTTTAGCTGATTTGTTTTAAACCAGGGCAGCATTCACCACATTTTTAAAAATTGACAAATAAAGAGAAAAGACCAACTGAAAAAGCAAAAGCACATTTTATAACTATTTCTTCAATGCATGTACTTCATTAACCAGAAAACGGGAGTTTAAAAATAATAATAAATGTAAGTATTTAAAAATTAGAATTTTCTGAAAGAAAAAATATGATTAAGTTTAAAAACCAACACAAACTAGGAAAAAAGATATTTGTAATATGTATGCAAAGGTTTATTTTCTTTAATATATGTTGTTGTTATGTGCCGTGGAGTTGGTTCCAACTCATAGCGACCCTGTACATGATTTCTGAGGCTGTAAATTTTTATGGGAGCAGAAAGCCTCAACTTGCTCCCACAGACAGCTGGTAGTTTTGAACTGCTGGCCATGAGATTAGCAGCCCGATTTGTAACCACTATGCTACCAGAGCTCCTTCTTTAATATATAAAGAATTATTACTAGTTGGTAAAAAAAATACTCAGTAATCCAATAGAAATAGTCAAACATCACAAACAGGCAGTTAGCAGAGTAGAAAAAAAAAGTTTATAAGGATACAAAAAATATACTCCCCTTCGTAATTAAAGAAATACAAAATGAAATGACTATTTTTTTTAATCTTATCAAAAAGGCAGAAGTCAAAAAGATTGATAATAAGCATTGTTAGCTGGAATAAAGAGAAACAGAAATCTTCTCACAATGTTTGTGGAGTGTAAAATGGTAACACCACTTTGGAGACAATCTGGAAATATTTATAAATATTTTTAAAGTACATATTCTTTAACTTAGCAATTCCACTTTTAGGCATTAAATCTAAAGATATACTCACCCACATATGCAAAGACTTAAGTATAAAGATATTCACTGCAGCACTTCTTTTCTAATAGCAATATACTGGAATCAAACGTTTATCAACAGAAGAAGGGTTAAATAAATTATCTACCCATAAAACAAGTAAAAAAAAGTCATGGAAAAGAATGAAGAATATCTGTATGTACTGATTTATTGTTATGGATTGATTTTTCAGTATATATAATTTAAATTATATTAAAAAAGCAAGATGCAGAACAATATGTTTCCATTTGTACAGAAAAAGAGGTATACACACACACATGCACTACTACTGGAAGAATGTTTAAAATAATCATCTATATGATTAACAATTAGTTTAAAACAAACAAGCATAACAGAAATAATGAGAATGCTCAAACATTATGAAGAATGTGACCAATGTCACTGAATAACATGTGTAGAAATTGTTAAATGGGAATTTAAATTACTGTGTAAATCTTCATTGACAAAACAATAAAATATTATGAAGAAATAATAGAATGAAGAAATTGGCTGATTTGGGGGAGACACACTTCCAACTCACATCTTTAAAAAAAAAAAATCAAGTTAAAGAAATACTTATAATTCCAAACAACACTTTGATTACAGAACAGCTGAAAATGATTCAATAAATTAAAAAACAAGCAAAAGAGAATGCAAAGAAAGTGTTTTTCATAGTTGTAAAAGAAATACATAACTACTCAAAATTTTTTTTTAATTATAATTTGTTAAGTTTACTCTTCTCTACAATGAGGAATTAAACTTTGTGATCTTTAAGACTCATTCTAGTTAGAGCATTCTTTGAGAACAAGAAAATATCTTCTCCTGAATAAGGGGAATATTGCTTCCCAATCTACCAAAAGCTTCTGCAAATAGACCTTAATATATTCTGCACAACAATGGAACTCTAGCAACTGTTTCTTAGATGCTGACTAAAACAGAAAGATCCCTCCCCAAAGGTAACTTGCACATGGCACATAACAGGATGCCCAATGGGAAGTCTGGGAAGAGATGGGTTTCTGCATCCTAGAGTCTTCATAATCACCGGACTTTGGGCAGGGGTCCTCACCTGTCAAAGGTCCTACTACGGAGCTCTCGAATGAATGTAGGGCTCCCAGTCTTCACTGGCTTTCCCTTGTGTGTATCATGCCCTTTTGAAGATCCACGGCGTTTTTTCACTAAGCCAGGAAAAGATACGAAGTCATAGTCAAAATGGACATGAACTATGGATCTAAGAGCAAAAGATTCAACAGATTCTGTTTCTAGCATCCCCTTGAAGCATCTGGAGTCCCCAAGGCCCTTGGAGAATCAAAACAGTTGCTAGTGAGGATGGATGTTTGCTCTTTGGAATCCCTAGGAAGGGAGGGAAGTAAAGCTACAAACGTCATATTCAGTGAGGCAGCTGTTGACAGCTTCTAGTTCTTAAGGGAGACAAATCTGAAGTTCTCAGGCAAAAATGTTCTCACTGCCAAGCTTCCTTTGCTTTAACCTCTCTGAAACCCTTTTTTTAGAAACCTCAAGATCTACTTACTGACAGAGGGCCCATGCAAAACCTCGCAGTTGGGGCAATGGTAGAGGTCAATGTCAGTAGCCTTCTCCTCTTCAACACCAACACAACTGGAAAATAAAAAATTAGCCAAGGTTTATGGAAATTTTGTTTTTCATAAGGTACAGAATTGTGCTGTACACTATAATTTCAGAAATATGTAACAATTTACATTTAAATTAATTAAAAGTAAACAAAATTTAAAATTCCATTCCTCCATCACTCTAGCCACATTTCAAGTGCTTAGTAGTCATTTTCATCAATATAGAACACAAAGACCTATTGGACCACAGTGATCTAAAACGATGACAAAGCTAAATATGTACATATCTGAGTCCTTAAGATTCAGAATGCTCAAACCTGGAAGAGCCTTTCGAGCAGTGCTGTCTAATAGAAACCTAAAGTGACGTAAACATATCATTTAATATTTTCTAATAGCTACACTAAAAAAGTAATAAAAACTGGTGAGATTAATTTTAATATCTTGTTGTTGTTGTTGTTAAGTGCAGTCGAGTCGATACCGACCCATAGCGACCCTATATAGGGTTTCCAAGGAGCAGCTGGTGAGCTTGAACCACCAACCTTGACAGTTCAAACGACTTTGCAGTCTGACGCATTAGCCCACAGCGCCACACCAGGACTCCTTTAATATCTTATGTAACCCAAAATGTTATTTCAACATATAATCAAAATTTTAACATTTAATGAGATATTTGGTTAAATAAAAGGACTGAAAAATATATTTTTCAATATATTTCAAATATACCTTGGAGTGAAGGATTGCACGTAGCCGTTTTTTTTCTCTTTTTCTATATTTTCTAATTTTCTCCAATAAACACATACTATTAATTTCATATTTTAAAGCATACAAAATATTTATTAATTTTGAAAACCTGAGTTTTCATGTATATAAGGTGGTGGTGGTTATGTGCTGTGGAGTCGGTTCCAACTCATAGCAAACCTGTACAGGGTTTTCATGGCTGTAAATCTTTACAGGAGCAGAAAGCCTCATCTTTCTCCTATGGAACAGCTGGTAGTGTCGAACTGCTGACCTTGCAGTTCGCAGCCCGATTCGTAACCACTATGCTACCAGAGCTCCTTATATAAGTGGTTGTTGTTGTTGTTGTTAAGTGCCATAGAGTCTATTCCGACCCATAGCGACCCTGAACAGGGTTTCTGAGGCTGTAAATCTTTACGGGAGCAGAAAGCCTCATCTTTCTCCCAGAGCAGCTGGTAGTTCGAACTGCTGACCTTGTGGTTCGCAGCCCTATTCGTAACCACTACACTACCAGAGCTCCTTATATGAAGTGGTAGTCAAACAAAATTAAACCGCTCTGGTAGCGTAGTGGTTACGAATTGGGCTGCGAACCTTAAGGTCAGTGGTTCGAAACTACCAGCCTCTCCGCGGAAAAAAGATGAGGCTTTCTGCTCCCGTAAAGATTTACACGCTCAGAAACCCTGTATAGGGTCGCTATGGGTCGGAACCGACTCAACGGCACTTAACAACAACAACATCCTGGTGTGGCACTGTGGGTTAATGTACCAGATTGTAAAGCCATTTGAACTGCAAGGTCGGTAGTTCAAGCTCACCAGCTGCTCCTTGGAAGCCCTACACTATGAGTCAGAACCGACTCAACAGCACTTAACAACAATAATAACAATCCTAGTGAAGTCATCATCAGGCCTAAGATAAATCTCCTGATGTAAGATGGTGGACTACAGAAAAAGGCTACACAGATCCTCTACAACAAAGATGCAAAAAGTGGACTGAATTTTTACTAGGAGAGGAAGATGAACGGAAGCGAACAAATGCGGCATGGCCAGCTTAAACATTTGTGAGTGGCTTTACAGGCAAGGCAGTGGCTTGACAGCACAAAAGCATACCAGCGACTCACAGAAATAAAGGTTCAATTTTTTTCTTGTCCCTACATTCCTATGAAACTACCAGCTGCTCCGCGGGAGAAAGATGAGGCATTCTGCTCCCGTAAAGATTTACAGCCTCGGAAACCCTATACAGGGTCGCTATGAGTCAGAACCGACTCCATGGCACATAACAACAACATTCCTATGGTGACCAGAGGTGTGGTCAGTACATACCTGCGAATGTTTCCAGCCAAGCTCCTGCTCTCCATGGTTAGAGTTATACAGTGGTGAGCCGCACAGTTCTAAGCCACATCAGAGTGAGTTGTGAGCTATCTGGAATCAGGTGAGGCCTTGACCAGACCTGCAGAGCTGGTTCTGGCCAACTCTGGACTAGTGGGAACTCCTCCATACTATACACTGGCTGCTATCTGTGATGGAAAGACCATAATCCCAGTTGCACTGGGATTTGCACCAACTACTTTCAGATTGGGTGTCCAAAAAAGACAACACCTAGGCCTATAGGAACTCCATCTAGGGCCAGGAGTGCCACCATCTCATTACTTGCCCACCATCACATGAGCTTTTGGCTAACAGGAGCCCCCAGAGTTTTCTCCTGTCTGGGACTGACATCTATCTGACCTGGATTTTTCCTTTTTTGTTTATTCTTTATTCCCTGTCTTCCTCTCTCTCTACACCTTTCATTCTTTTATCCTTTCTATCTCTGCTTTCATTTTTTTCTTTCTTTCTATTTCTCTTTTCCCATTGTTTAGGCTGTTTCTTTTTTCCTCTTTCTTGATTTCTCTGGTAGAGTAGTGGTTATGAATCTTGCTGCTAACCTCAGGGTCAGCAGTTAGAAACTACCAGCTGTTCCAAGGAGAAAGATGAGGCTTTCTGCTCCCGTAAAGATTTAAAGCCTCAGAAACCCCGTGCAGGGTCGCTATGAGTCAGAACTGACTCCACAGCAAAAAACCACCACCACACCACCACTTACTTTCTGGTCTCTTTCTCTTTTACTCATCCCTTTCCACAATTGTGTTTAGTGTTTTTTCTTTCCTTCTGTTTTCCCTCTTATTTTTTTCTTCCATGGTTATTTTCATTTTCTCCCTCTTTTCTCTTCTACTTATTGTATCCTTTTTCTAGTTATTGCCTGCCTTTGTTTCTTTCTTCTCATTTTCTATTTTTGTTTTTCACTGTCATTTACTTGTTTGTTTGTTTTCTTCTTCTGTGTTGAGTCTTCTCTTTATGCCCCACCAGATGGAGGACAGTAACCATTCCCACACATCCCAACATAACCATGCCCTCTGCAGCAATACCCAATACCAGATAATCTACACCTGATTAATGACAAAAACCAACATCAACCAAATCCACTTTAAACTAAATTGCATATACGGCAGACAAAGAAGAGTGCACATGCTTCCATTCTCTAATAACACAAACCAGGAGCCAGTTAGTGAGTCTCAAAGAACACAACAACACACAATCATCAATTAAACATGAATACAATGACACCACAATGTCTGGGAAGCAACAGACAATTTCTGTTCACACAAAGAAACAAGACAGAGCGGCTCAAACAAGTGACAGGAGTGAGAGCTAGAAAACATCTTTGAGGGGAAAAAGACACTGGCACTACCTGAAAAAGAATTCAAGAGAATGATATTTACATATTTTCAAATGATTGATAGAAACGTAGAAGAAAATGGAAGTGTTCCAGAAAATACTACAGGAACAAACAAACAAAAAAGATAAAAGATTGGAGACAATACAAAATCTGAAACTAGAAATACAGAAGATTAATACTCAGATTTCAGCAAAGGACAATATATTATAAAGGCAATAAAGTAGATTTGAACCAATGGAAGCGTGAATTAGTTAGCTTGAAGATAAATTATTAAGGTAGAAAAACAATCTGAATAAAGGAAAAAATCCAAAGAACACCTAAAATTCATATGGGATATCTTAAAACGGATTATCATATGGGTGATCCAAATCCCAGAACACAAAGAAACAAAGTATCGAAAAAACAGTCAAAGACTTATTGGAAGAAAACTTCCCTAACATCAAGAAAGACAAGCAGATAGCATTCAAGAAGCTGAATGAACCTCAAACAGGACACACTCCAAAAGAAAATCACCAACACATATCATAATCACACTTCAAAATCAAAGACAAGGAAAGAACACTGAGAGCAGATTGGGTAAAATTAAAAAGTTACCTACATAACAGAAGTAATAAGACTACGTTCTGATTCCCTAGCAGAAACCAGGCAGGCAAGAAGGCAATGTATACAAAACTCTGAAAGAGAAAAATTACAAACCTAGGAGCTCTGGTAGCGTAGTGGTTACGAATCGGGCTGTGAACCTTAAGGTCAGCGGTTCGAAACTACCAGCTGCTCCGCGGGAGAAAGATGAGGTTTTCTATTCCCGTAAAGATTTACACCCTCGGAAACCCTGTACAGGGTC